TGATTGGGGTGAGTTTGCCTTTACTCTTCTCCAAAACTATACAGTAAAATTACCTGAAAATAATTACAGTAATAGTCAGGGTCACTTAGAACAGGAATCCAATGAACAAATGAGCAAACCTATGAAGGAACACTTTTTATGAGTGTTTGAACATGGGACATGGTGTAAGTGCTACAATGCAGTTTGATGATTGGGGCGAGTTTGCCTTTACTTTTCTCCAAAACTATACAGTAAAATTACTTGATAATAAATACAGTAATAGTCAGGGTCACTCTGAACAGGAATCAAATGAAAGAATGGGCAAACCTATGAAGGAACACTGTTTATGAGTGTTGGAATATATGACATGGTGTAAAGTGCTATAATGCACTTTGATGGATGGGGTTGAGTTTGCCTTTACTTTTCTCCAAAACTATACAGTAACATGACTTGAAAATAAATACAGTAATAGCCAGGGTTACTCTGAACAGGAATCAAGAAAGAATGAGCTTTTTATTTAAGTTTTGAGCTTTGGGACATGGTGTAAGTGCTAGAAGTTGAAGTAAAATGGCAAAACTCCCATTATATATAAAATGTATATGTGTGTGTTTGTGTGTGCGTGTGTGTGTGTGTGTGTGTGTTTTGAGTATCATATTTCATACTTCAGGTATGAATGTATATTTCATAGATTGTATAAAGGTGTTTATAGCTTATATATGCAATTCAATTATAATTGACAGATTAAAAGCCACCAAAAGCCTGTTGTATTCATTTGCCACTTATTTGCCAAATATTTGCCATTAACATTAACATAAAAAAATGTAAGAAAATAAATAAATAAACATTAATACATTATGTATAATAATTAATGTATACTTTATATAAAAACATTAAAATCAACAATAAAAATGCAATATAAATGTATGATAATTAACATTAATATTACATTTCATTAAAGTTAATAAAGTACAATAGTATTTTATATATATATATATATATATATATATATATATATATATATATATATATAAACATTCAAATTAACAAAAAAAAAGTAAAAAAAAAATGATGTATGATAATTAGCATTAATATGAAAATGAATAAGTTGTGTAATAATTAATGAATCACATATAGGGCTACAAACATTAAAATAATAATAAAAAAGTAATGTTTTTTTAAATCATAAAACTGTATTATTTGTGTCCTAATGAGATGGAAAATAGCAGAAAATAGTGTCTAAAAAAACATTAAAATTAACAATAAAATGTAAAAATGATTCATGTTAATTGATATTACTATGAACATGAATATATTATGTAATAATTAATGTAACTCATAGGCCTACACACTTTATAATAATAATAAAACAGTCATGCTTTTTAAAAAAAATCATGTAAATGTATTATTTGTGTCCTAATAAAATGTAAAATAGCGGAAAATAGAGTCTTAAAAACAATTTTGACCGCTTCCAGCACCCATACCGTAAGTACACGATTAGACGCGGATACTAAAAAAAAATGTGCGGCTGGCTTGACCGTGTATTTTCAACGCGCGGCCCACTTGACCGCAGTTATAGTAAACATGCTGCCATTTGTCCTTCAATGAATAGTTCACCAAAAATGCTAATTCTGTTATTATTTACTCACCCTAAAGTTGTTTCAAACCTGTATTAATTTCGTTCTTGTGCTGAACAAAAAAGAAGATATTTTGAAGAATGTGGCTATCCAAACAGTTGCTAGTCCCCATTGACTTCCAGAGTAGGAAAAACCATGGGAAAAACTATAGGCTATATGGAAGTCACTGGGGTAATCCACATTTTTCAAAATAACTTTTGTTTTCAACAGAAAAAAAAATGTATTCGGGTTTAAAACAACTTGAAAACAAGTTTGGGCGCTCTATCCCTTTAATGTTAATAAAAAAAACATGTAATGTTTTATTTTTATATTTGTTCAATTAATTTCTAATTTGAAAGCTATTTCGCCACTTGGCCTAATGTCTGTCATTCTTTTTTATGTTGTATAAATTAATTAATTCCGTGTAACCGCAGCTTATGACATAAACTGACATCTTAAAGTAATAAAACTGTATAGTGTACTACAGATACTTTTATTTTTCAGGATGGCAAATTGTTTAAACAAAATATTCATACCTCACAAAGTCGCCATGTCGTCATCTCCTCAACGTGCGTCTCTGTCTTGCGCTGCTGCATTTGCATACGGTGTGTGCAAGGGACATGCTGTTTTGTATGTGTGTGTGTGTGTGTGTGTGTGTGTGTGTGTGTAGTGTGTGTGTGTGTGTGTGTGTGTGTGTGTGTGTGTATGTGTGTTTGTGCGTTCCACTGAACAATGATTTGTTGACTGAACAAAAACACCTAAAGTTTAAGATGACAAGACACATAACAGAAGTTAAATACATTTTATCCACTGAAAGAAAAAAGAAACCTCAACCTGCATTTCCAGACTCCACAAAAACTCATACCATGAAGTGCAAACTATTTGGTCTTCTACATCAGTTAATTATGTTTTGACAGCATTTATCGATATGTCAAATGATTTCAAAATATTAATAAGTTACCTTACAAAGTTGCCAAAACATTCGATCTGATTCGTCTGCCTTTCACAGCTCAGCTCATCTAATAAACTCCATTATTAACTTTGCAGAATGTCCTGATTAGGTCCCCTTTATTAAGACGTTTAATTAAGTGACATCTAGTTAGCATCTTGGAAACAAAAATAGTTTTTTTTTTTTTTTGTATTTATTGTAAAAATGTAAACTAGCCGGTATCGTCGACGTCGTGGGCAGCACCCCGACACATTGCGAGGCTTCAGGTGACCCGAGTTTGAGATCATAAAACTTGTGCCTACGTATATACTGCATGTCCTTGCTTCCAGTTGATTATGTGAAAACGCAGAATTGGAATATGTGCATAATAATTAGAACCTAACTGTACACTTTCATTATCTAATTATCATTAACTAGTTCAACATACCAGTTTTTCTTTGATTTACATATTATTGTATATTTATTGTTAATTTGAATAGCTTTTTTATATTTGCAGTTTTCATTTCAATTTTAGATTAAGTTTTAGTAATTTTATGTGCATTTTTTAAATATTAGCTTTCATTTGTATTTATTTCATTTGGTTTTTATTTTAATTAATCAACTTATTTTATAAGTTAGTTGCACAAGTAACATTACTAATTGTCACTGTATTTTTTTAAGTTTAAATTTTGTATCAAATATTTATATTTTCTTTTATTTCAGGGTTCAGTTAACAAACTAAAAAACACACCTACAACCTTTTCTCATGAATTCAAATGCTTAAAACTATTCAAAGAGGCCTTTATACTTTTCAACTTTTATAAATAGAAATGCCTGATTAAATCTCTGTTAGTGTTAATAGGGCTTCAGTATTAGAAATGCAATATGTACCATTTATATTACATGCTTTTTCAAAAATCTAATTTATTATTTTATACTCCGTGTCCAGATCCCTATAGTATACTGTTGCAGCAAAGGATATATATATATATACACACATCAAACAACTGAAATGCCCAAATATTAAACCAGATTTTTATCTTTACACATCACAGCATCCCTACATTGTATACAGCATAATCAAAATTAATATCCAAGCCTAATTAATTGCACCTTTCAAATATAAAAAAATAGAATGATCATCTGAATGTGTTTGGGCTTCTGAACAAAAGCAAATACTGTAACATCATTCTCTCCATCCCTGTGGTTTTCATTTATACAGTTTATTAATAGTTTTTCAGTGAAACAGCTAACAACTGACTGCTTGAGCTATCTGCAATTCATGAAGAGGAAAAAAACATTACATTGAGTAGATATTCAAGCAAGCATTTTGTGTTTTGAACCATACACTGAGGTCAAAGATCATCAGGTTTGATTACTTTCTGCCGTATGAAACACTGGGCAGTGAAATTTATCATCCCTTGTCATCATTCATGCAGCATCTATGTGAACTACATTTAAAGTGTTACTGGTAACATTAGCAAATTGACTTTACATTACTGTTACATTAAAACATTTTAACCATTCGATATCGGATGCACATGTGAAAAAAATATACTGCTTCATAAAACCTTTGTATAGAAAAAGGTGTGGCATTTTGTTTCAAAAGTACAGTAATTGAGAACATCCCAATCAGACATAAGACCAGTTACATAAGTTTGATGTTCTGCTCTAAAACCTGAATCCTTTTGTTTAATGGACTGAATTAAAATCCAACTTGATATTTGCAATGGTTTTTGAATACAATTCAAAGAAAATGTGTCTGTACATCTGTTAAATGTAATAATTGCTCTGTTTATTATGCCATTACTGCCTTTATGAACATAATAAGTGTATAAACCAGCATTACTAATCAGTCAAAATATGTAATCATCATTCAACTTTTACTCTTTTTTTAAATATAAGAGACATTAACTGCAACAGCAGACAATGAGATGGACTGACATTATAAGCACTGTGTTGATAGGATAAGGCTTCTCCACACATTTCCCAGCAGTTTATTCAAGTTAAGGCACCTTTTTTTTTTTTTTAAATGGACACAAGGCTGCAAAAATTAGAGGGACGTAAACTTAAACGTAAACACATCCAGCATGCAGTTTCCAAATGCTCAGAAAAAGAAAAAGAAAAAAAGTATTTTCCAATAAGTCCTCATTTTTGACCAGCCAATGAACCCATTCATAGCTAGGTTTTTTACAAATAAACAAAAAAAAAAATTGCTCTGATAAATATATTTTGGTAACATTTCGAGGAATGTGGCTATAACACTCATCACTTTCCTATACGATAGGGATACTAAGAAACAATTTGGTTTCTCCTAAAGAATAGATTAGGTAATAAAAATGTTCATTTTACATATAACATGTACAGTATTCAAAGCACATGCAAGGACAGTTTGCAAAAGATCAAAGCAAACTACTATTGATACTCTTTTGGACACTGATAATCTCAATAAAAACAGAAAACAGTCAACCATGGTTGACTGGTGGTCTATGACAAGTATAATTAATGTACATTCAAGGAATCTATCCTTCGAGAAAGGCACAAAATGTACACAGGCATACTCAGGGTAGTGCAGAAGAGATTTAAACTGTAAAGATGCATGTGGTCTGGGCTTCACTTTGTATGCAACAGTCTGTCAAGTCCCTCTGAGTCTCTATTTGCCATAGAACTTCTTGTTGAGCAGGAAAATGAGGAGGTTAACATTTACAGTAGCTCGATCGAACAGCTTCATCACTGCCACCCCCTCGTACTGCAACTGGAGCAGGTCCTGATATTAAAGGGGACAAAAAAGACACATACACTTAAGGCCCATTCACACCAAGAATGAGAAGTCTAAAAAGGCATCTATATCTATATCTATATATATAAAACCACATGAGCGAAAACGTTATAAGCGTGCACTGCAGTCATGTCATCTGCTGCTTTAAATGATCAAGCTCTTTACAGTCTGTTAGATTATGATTGGCTCCGAGAGTGAGTTCAACAATATCGTTCTTCTGTGTTGGTATCGTTATAGTTATCGTTATAGTTGTGGTATACTTCCCTCTTCTTACAGTTTTTGAAACTTTATAGATAGTTATCTTTTGGTGTGAATGGGCCATTAGTCCTTACAAAAATCAAACATTCCTTCCGACTATATTAGATACAAACAAAAAAATATCAAGGGAAGAACTTTCACCTGGTATTCTAACATTAATGTCTCCAAATGGACTCCCATAAGCTTCGCTTTCACCTCAAACACTCCCACAATCTCAGATGGTGAGATCTCGAAAATGACATTCTTATACCTGTAAAAGATAAAGCATATTATTAATCAAGGACAACAAGAGGAAATGCAGATATATAAACACATAGTACGATAAGATATGAATACAGTAGATGAATCCAAATGCACAAGTTGTTGAAACTCACTGATTTGTCTGCAGATCCTCAATGTCAATGAGCACTCCCTTTTCATGCAGACGGGCTGCTGTGTACTTCTGCGATACCTGCTTGCTCTTCTTTGCCTTACTGTCTCCAGGTTTCTTAGAAACTCTGTGTGTGAAGCAATGGCATTTTCCATGAGCGTAAGCAAACAGCAATTATCCAATCAAAGATAATGACATGAACTTAAATGGACAGTAAATACTCCAAACACTCACTTGCCCTTGCTGGCTAAATTGTCCATGCAGGTCTTGATGTATTGATTGTAGTAGTCAATCTGCACATTGTAGAAAGTGCTCTTGGAGTTCAGACCAGCATTGGTCTGCTGAAGCTTGACCAATTCTGCCTTTCGCCTCTGACGATATCGCCTCTGGTTCCGGATGTCCTACAAAAATCGTCAACAAATAAATCAAGACGCTTTAGTATAAATTGAAAGGGCGAAATAGAAATTTCGCATTCAAGTACCGTCTGAAAATCCCTAGAACTCAGAGGTCAGAGGACATAGGAACGGTACCTTGGCAATGTCATTGATAAGATCCTGGTATTTCTTCTCAGGGTGAACTTTACCCAACTCTCCTAGTCTTTGCAAGTTGCTCTTGATCTTGTCCTTCTTGCCTTGCAAGGTAAGGCTGTCATCCACAACTGGTTTGGCTTGCTTCATCTTCTCCGGGGTCTTAGCATCACGAATGGCTCGTCGCTGCATGGCACGCTGGTACTCTGCTTCCTGTTTCAAATAAAAACACCAACATGAACAAAACATCCCTGCTTTGATGGAGTTTCTTTTTTATTCTGAAATACCTGCTATTAAATTACCTGCTCTGGTAAAGCTACATTCTCCAGGATCTCGGTAAGTGTCTCTCCTGGCTGAAACCTGATCACATCTACTATGAGCCTCTTGGTGCTAAATGAACAAGATGCATGGACAAAGATTCATGGTAAATACTTAGAAAAGAAGCCAAACCGCATTAACAAGTAAAAACATTAGTTCCAGAACATAGTGAGCCTGCCACAATGCATTATCAAATTGTCTTCTCTGGGAAGGATTTGGTAAAATGAAGTAAACGAAGTATCTTAGGAGGCATCATACCTTTTGGAAGTGCCTATGAAAATATCTCACTAGGTTTTGGAACAGAACAATTGAGTAAGGCTTTGTCCTTACTTGAGAAGGAGAGTCTTGGCATCCATTTCAGCATTGGCCTCATCAGGAACATCAAATTTGTTGGTGAGAGTGAGAGAGACTTCTGTCTTACCCATCATTTCCTTATTGGGATCATCTGCGGGAAGTGGGCTCTCACCTATGAGAGAGCAACAATCCATTACTCTGACTCGGCAGGACCTCAGCGTCCTGACACATTAAAGCATTTCTCAGAGGCTCACCTATTAAAGACTCAATGGTGGGAACCTCTCCTAGGTCATCTAGCAACTCATGGATGGGATCATTGTGGTCTGGTGCGATGGCATCTTGGTGATCCAGCAAGAGCTAAAGAAGATCACACAAAATATTCAATCCTGAAAACCAACTATACTGGATGTGATCTCTTCCATAAAGGTGTGGTCACTTTAGCAAAATTCAAAGGAAAAAGGGTCAATTGTCTATTATCAATAGTGTGGCAATGCTTAAAGCACTGCTCACAGGATTCCTCTTGACATGACTGGATTTTGAATTTGAAATTTCAGTCTCAGATTTTACCGTGTGAGTGTTGATGATCTCCCCAATGGAAATGTAGATCACAGGCTTGGTCAAGGTGACCAGGTCAGAGTACTGATCCACATTGAACTTGTCTTCCAAAGAAGGGGCGTCACAAGCGGACAAAAAGAAACGTCTGGGAGACAGAGACGTTCTTGCATCAGCATGGGTTGATTATGAATTAAACTGCTAAAAATGAAGAAACAAACAGAAGCATTTTGATGTCACTTATACCTAAATTTCTGGTAGGAGTTGGAGAGGTATTCATTGATGGGGTTCAGATGAGCGTTGTCTCCAAGAAACATCTTGTTGGAGGCGGCATGCTGTAGCATTTTGGCAATTGATCCCAGGTTTCGCCTTTGTTCTGTGGTAAGCTGACCTCCAGCAGATAAATCTATGATGTCAAAGGCATCGGGAGCCACAATGGCAGGGTTCATGTAGCGGTAGTACAGCAGGTTGCCCACAATCTTAAAAGATAATAAGGATGAGTATGTTCTTCTTCTCAAGCAAGTACAACATCTCTGGAATTTTTAAAACCTATTATCTATTGTTTCTATATTTGTGCAATTAAAGCTCTTCTGCAAAATTACTGAGAAAAAGAGAAGCAGCAAGGCAAGATTAAGAAAGATGTGGCTCACCTGGGCTGGGTGCTCATCAAAAACCTCTTTAAAAGGGTATAAGCAAGGGCCAAGAGGAGAGCTTGAGCCAGGGCAGAGCAAGTGTGGGAGAGATAGATAGAAAAAAAGAAAGAGAGAGGAATCTCTTTCCAGGAGAAAAGGAAAGAGAAGGAAACCACATTTAGTATTCAGAGCGAGGAGCCTGTATTATCACAACAGAATAGAAGCACGAGAGCAGAGACATGCTCAGGATTTAGGACAATGTTCCACAGTGGGACAGCAGCAGGTGCAAGTTTAGCAAAGAGGTAATCAGAGTGTTTAAGACATCTGAATAAAGCCTGTAACAAACCTTCAAAAGCTCATCCTCTGTGGCATCAGGGAACCTTTCATTAAGTGTGTCCTTCAGCGTCTTGGCAATGAATCGCATGCCATATCTACAGGGGAACAAAATCAATCAAATGTACAGAGACTTACACCAATGTTTCCTACAGAATTCTGCTTTTGATATATATTTGCATGTTTCTTTAGTTTAAATACCACTTATTCTAAAAATAGTACACATAACATGGTTCAACAGTACCTGGATTACTTTCGCTCAAAAATGAATGTTATGATGAGTTAGTGTTCAATGAATAGGTGAATTAATATTTGCATCATAATTAATTCATAATTGTTAATTGTGCTCTGATGGATTCAGTGAATTATTTATTAGAATGATATCAAAAGCGATAACATGTGAGATCATTAGTTTCATTAGAGTCATTAAAAGAACAGATTCATAAAGAGTCATTTGCTGTACCAATCGGTGAAGTAAAGGCCATATAAAACCTTTTTTGTGTGTGTGGTACTCTGCCTTTTTAACTCATTAGGTTTATTTCAAACTGAAAGCTCTGAAAAATATGATTCAGCTGCGGCACAGCGGCATTTTTTTAACAGCGGTGTAACACTAACTTGTACAAAAGCATGAACAAAGAACCAGCTCATGTAACAGACATGTATTTAAATATTCAAATCTGGACTTGCTAAAAGTCATTTTCATATATTCAAGAATGATTTATGGTAGATGCTTCTAAATATAGATGCAAGACATGGAATTTGTTGTTCCCAGGGGGAAATTCAGCTGGTGGATATTAGGTACACACATACCTGTATACATACACACATACAGAGACAATTTTATCCAGCAGTGGCAGATGTGTAAACTCACGGGATTTTATCCACAGAAACAATAATGGCAGACAGAAATTTGTCTGTGACCGTCCTCATGTTCTTGATGGAGGCTTCCAGGCGGGTTCGAACCTCCTCGTGACTCATTGCCTGCTCTGGAGTCACATCATATGGCAATTTACTGCAAAACAGAATAAGATGGGCCTCATTATACTTAAAATCATTTAAATTAATCAATTATTATTATTAGAATAAAAAAAATTATCTAACTCTAAATTAAAATGCGATAAAAAAAACCCAATCAGGATGTAAACTGAAATCATATTTCTTTATATTTTCCCTCAATACCTACTGTTTTTATTGAAGAACTCACAGTTCTGGAAGACAGAACATAACCTCTAGAATCACAAACTGAAATATAACCACATTATAACCTAAATTAAACCCTTTAATTAATTTAATATATCAATAAAAAAAACAAGCAGCTTTCTCATAATTACAGCAGAAATAGCAGGAATATCTTAGGGGGGCCTTAAACTATTGTGTTCCATGACGAGAAGCCTTCAAGTCAAAAAGGTTGAGGAACACACCTGGCCTCTCCTGTTTGACTCTCCATCTGGTTCACCCAGCTCTTGTATATGTCGACTGGGTCAGTTTTAATGTTGAGAGTCTTGTCATCCATGATTTCCTTCACGACAGGAGCCAGGATCTGCCGAAGGGCGTTCTGACCTCGGGCTCCTCTGTTAAAGCTCACCACCATCTTAATGACTGTGGGGTTTCCTGTGACGATCTCCTGGATTTGGTCCACTTTTGATCTGCATTTACAAGACCGAGAGATCGTAAAAGAGTACAAATGCATCTTGATAAATATGGAAAGAATATATAATGTATGGAACATCATTCAGTTCCTACTTGATTTCCTCTTGCAGGGCTGTTTTGAAGAGATTGAGCAAGAGGTACTCCTCACGCTGATTGGAAGCGTAGTTGTACAATGTGAAAATCACAGAATCCATGAACTTGGTCGATTTGTTCTGTGGCATCTGAAAGATCAGCTTGGCCAGATAGGTTGGATTTGTCTGAGGAAAACAGAGAGGAAAATGAACAGGCCTGGTGAGACACTGATTTTCAAACAATTGTTGGACTAGATTTGATGAGGTTTACCTGTAACAGGTAGAAGAGGAACTGATATGCCTCCAGCTTGTCTCTCTTCTCTTTACTGAGAGCCTTCAGGCCTCCTTTCTGCTTGTTCATCATCATGAGGTTGGACAGCTCCCCCTTGTTCTTCTTGGTGAGCTTCTTGCTGTGAGAGACCACCTCCTGAAGGGTGATCTTGTTTTTTACCAGCAGGCCAATCTTAATGTCCATCAGATTAAGGTCGTTCTCCAGCTGCTGGTTGGAGCGGATGTTGGTGATCACCTCCTCTCTTAGCCGCATCAGTTCCAGCTCTTCCTGGAAGTCCTGGTCGCTGTGGTCCAGCAGGTGGACAAACTTACGAACGACTGCCATTGGAGGATCATCTGCGTTGACTGTTAAAAACAGAATTTGGAATTTTTTGTCTCTATACTAGCTGGTGGGGACAATTTGCAGGTATACACTTAAAATTTAGTCTTTTTCTTCTGGGACAACAAAAAAAATATTGATGACTCATCCTGCACTCTAATTTTTGTCCAATCAAATGTTCTCTTGAGTGTCCCTCCCCTTAAAGGGATAGTTCACTCAAAAAAGAAAATTGTGTCATTTAAAACAGTTGACTTTCATTGTATGATACCTTCATCAAAAATACCTTGTTTTATGTTGTGTAGGAGAAATAATGTCATACAGGTTTGGAATGACATGAGGGTGGGTAAATAAATAAAAAAATCATTTTTGGGTGAACTATTCCTTTAATACCATCTGCAACTGACCAGCAAGTAGAAAATCAATGTTCTTTAGTTGTGACATAAAAAAAAAGCCTTAAAACAAAATGCCAAAACGGAAAAGAACTGCGGTCAATAAGCCATTTCGTGGTGTCTTCAAAATTGCAGCAGTATACTGAAACAAATGCATGCATAAAAAAAGTTCTCTCCATAGATTGATGAGGTATGTTCTAAGTGAGAGGATGTGAAACAGAATTTGAAGGAAGTACATGAAATGCTTACTGAGAGTTTTGTAGTCATCTCTTGCTTTGTTGGCTCGAATGAAAGCCTGAATTTTCACCACATCATTTATCTGAAATGAGAAAATTGGAGGGAGGACATTAAAGACAGTCCACTGTGTGGTCAAAGATCAGATTATATTAAAGGGGTGATGAACTGAGAAATCAAATTTTCCTTGAGCTTTTGACATCTAAGAGGTCATCAAATTATAAGAATATCCTGTAAGTTTCAGAACTGAAAACGTCCTTGTTAGTCCAATAAAAGCTTTTATTGACACCAGGCTCAGCAAACGACTCGTTTTTCAAAGTGGGGAACTATGACGACAAAGAGGATAAAACACCACCCCCGCAGAAGAAGATCAACGCCTTCTTCAACACGGCCGGTTTAGCCCCGCCCACCGATTCGCGCATTACACGAAACTCATTATAATATGCAAAATTGTTATCCACTCACAGCAGTGGGCGTTTACTTCCAAGTCTTCAATGCGAGACGCCCATAAAAACCGAGCGTTTTTGAGCTAGACTCAAAACTAGGGAAGAAAATAGCCTATTACTTATTCATTTTGAAGTTTTTGAATGTAAAAACCAAGCGAACCTCATAAGTTGACCTCAGACAACAATATAAAAAAATTTAAAAAGCCAGTTCATGACCCCTTTAAATATAAAAATACACAAGTCCTTTGGTTTGACTTAAAACTCACATGGTCTTTGAAGTACTGAAGACGATCTTTGTATTTTTTGCGAGCTTGGTGCATCCTGACCATTGATTGAATCTACAGGGAAAAAAAATCATATTTACCCACACTCAAATTTCACCATATTAAGATTGATCTTAACTTAAATAAAAGAGCCAAACCCGATAATTAGGGGATGACCACATATTTTCAGCTATGTAGTGTATAGCCTAGCGAGTATAATCCTGACATTTTATGATGCAAGAAGCATGGCTCTTATATTCCATCAGAATTTCTCATGCTGATTCCCATCATCTTACCTTGACAGCATCTTCAGAGTGATCCTTCAGGTACTGCTTCCTGTTATTGTACTTCTTTCTTTCCTTAAAGCCTCTCCAGTGGGCCTATAAAGCAAACAGAACCAGATGGTCATGATTGACTTGGTACAGACCCATAGATGTTATGAAATATTTTAGCATTAATGACCTGAAGTCTTGTTTAGGATTAACTGAAGGAAGAAAGAGAAGAATGACCTGTATGCATGTAACAGACGGCTGCTGAGTTGTCAAGAACCCAAGACGGTCTTTCATTCCACGTCGCACCAGAAAACCATGGCACCGGGCCTGCAGTTTGGCGATCAGACTCTCGTTGGCCAACCACAGTTGCTCTCGGTTATATGCTGTGGTTACTCCTGACACAACAGACTACAAAGACAAAGACAGTACGTAAATTAGGAAGAGAAAAAAAATTATAATATAATTATAACAACAAAAATATTAATTAAATATATTATGATTTTTTTAATGATATATAATTAAATATAATTATCAGAGAAGTATAAGATTTACCTGTATTTCCTCCTTGTTAAGCTGAGTGTTGTTCGGAATGAACCCTGCAGGCTTATCCCAGGTGCCTTGTCCAGTCTTGAGGTTATAGTAGTAGTTATGTCCTCCCTTCACCCAATGTTCCATCCATTCACTGCCATTATCCCCTAACAAAAAAACACTATTACTCTCTCAGTCACAATGTGTACATTTATGACATGTTGTGATAGAACTATTATCACCAAATAGTTTAAAATAAATACTTTTAACTGAGAACATAAGTAGATTTTAGATATAGCCAAATACCACAGAATCAGCACAAGAACCCATCTCACCTTCCTTATTCTTCTCCTCTTTAATTTGAAACAGGTCATCCTGGTAGGTTTGCGCACACTCAGATGTGACTCCATACAGACCAGAAGAAGATGAACGCAGGGCTGCCAGTGTTTGAGAAGAGTCCTTGTTATCCACAGCCTCATTAATGGCCTGGATCGCCTGAGAGACTGAAGGTGGACAAGTAGATCATTCTTTAGAAAAACAGATTATTCAACGAAAAGAATCATCGTTTATATTAAAGCTAAGATTGAAATGAGGATTATTACACTGCAGAGCTTCTTCTGAGTCCTTGTTGGCTCTCATGATCGCATCCTGGATCTCATCTAGCCAAAGCACTGCAGAAGGATCTCCGCATTCCTGGAAAGACAAGAAAACAAAACAAGGAATCAATTACCAATGATGTGAATTAAGATGTGTTCTGGTCACTTTAGTGAAACTTTGTGGAAAATTCATTTCTATTATTTGACTTGTGCTGTAATTTTGATGACTGAAAAAGGATTTATAATTTATAAGTAATTTCTAGACAATAAATTATTGAGAACTAAGCATAACTATAAAGATTTATATTGGCTATAGATTTTTCCATGGATTATCTAGGACTGGAAATCACACTTTTGAAATTGCTGGTTTTTTTAGGATTATGGGAACTCTGGTTGCACAGAACTTGCTTCACCTTGGAACAAACAGAATTGCAAAAAATATTCATGTTTTCAATAAGGATTAAGCAATTCCAACTAGATTTTAATTTTGTAGTTGATTAGGAATAACACTCATATGGGCACTAAGTGTCAGTTAAACCTTTTGTGATGAGATGATTAGACATTAAACAAACAGTCGACCCAAAAATGAAAATAATGTCATTACATACATTTTTTCAAAATATATTTTGTGTTCTGCAGTGGGAAAAAAATTCCAGGTTTGGAATCAGGTTTGGTTTGGAGTCACAATGATGACAGTATTTTCATTTTGGAGTGAACTGTCACTTTAATTCCATTAACAAAAATGTTTTGACTGTCAACAGGTACAGTATAATGAATGTAAAGCACAGCAAGGTCATTTAAGTCACAACAAATGCTGTAAAACTGGTAGAGAGAAATAGTTTAATTATTCAACAATACAACTGTTAAAATTATATAAACAATTACACTGCCTTTCAGGAAAATCGCACACTGTCCTTCCGAAAGTGCTGAGGAGAACCAAAAACAAGACTGAGATGACTGACTTTATCAGATCATGTTCTTTGGCTGTAATAATCTAAATATGTAGGGGTACCTGTATAATTTTCTCCACTGGATGAATCACATCTGCTTCTATTATCATTTGTAGGGAGTTGTAGGGATAAACACATACTAATGGAGGGGTTCATTACTACTACCACCACCAGGTGGCGCAGTTGCCCTCTCATAGTAGTCCTCCTAACCGCATGCTGAGCTCAGTTTCCGGAGCACGATTTGCGGCTCTCTGATTTGCTGAATGCAAAGGTCCCTCTATGCAGTCCGCCCGCCTTTCTTGCAAACGCACAGCAGCGCAGCACACCAAACCTGAGGGTGTGGCAAATTGTGCAACAGAGGAAAACGTTGTTCCTTCAGGGTTGATAAGGCTCCGCCTCACTGTTACATTTCATCGGCTGTATAAAACGAATGCCTGCTGATTTAGAGTGCAAATAAGACTTAATGTGTCCCAGTGGGGTGGAGTAGAAATGATCAGGATCTGAATATCTGAATAAAGTCTGCCAACTGTAACTAAGGAAGTGAAAAAGGGTGTGGGGTGTAATGTCCAAGATTACAATACCGTCTTTTCTGGGCTTGTTTACTACCCTGAATGACAGAAGAGGAACTACTTCTATTCCAGCTACACTTTGGTAAAGATAATCCGGAAATGTTTAAGTAGGAAATTTAACACAGGATGTTATACAAATATACTACTAAAATCCATATGAATAGTTGTCAAACAGAAATGCCTTGAATTGTTATTCTCTGTGAGGTCACACATCACTCCATCTTTTTGAGATCCTTGCTTATTGGAGATCATTTAAAATTGCAGAAGTAAAAAAAAAAAAAAAAAAAAAACAGATTATCAAACTTCCTTCCAAACCACTTCCTGTCAGTTGAGCAGATCTGGTATTATTCTGTGCTTCACACTTCGTAGTGACCTAAAGCTAGCGTAAGCCTGGAGGAGTGATGTCAGCGCTAAAAACCCTTTACTGAGCTACACCAGCTAGCGGGACCAGCATTTTGCCCTTTTAAGGCAGAGAAAAAGTCATCAGCCTTGTTATTTCCGATGCTTGTGCAAATCATTTTGAAAAGGAAACACTTTGTTTTCCCAGCCATGTTTTTCTTGGGGGGGGGGGGGGGGGGTTGCAGCATGGGTTCAGCACTGACTTTGGCAGCTATTACAAGTCCCAAAAATGTTTTATCATGCGACCCTCTATTAAAAGAGTAGTTACTTAAACTCATAAGAAAACCCCCAAAATTTGGGATTTGGTGTCCATAATGCCTGTGAACGAGTATTCTAGATACTTTCTCTAGAGCTAAAAGACTGCTCTTTGCCTCAGAATCTTCAGTTCAGCTCTGAACCACAGTGGTACGCTGCTGTGGTAAACCATGGCCTTCTCTGTGCCCATTCACCTGCATCTCTGAGGTTTCAGTTCACGTCCACAGGAAACATGTGGGGCGTGGCTTAAAACACACAACTGAAATACCCTAGACGTGAACCTACTTCACGTCCTCGGTGAGCCTCAGATTAGAACCAAAATGTTCTATTATCATACAAACAGAAACCTTTTGAAAGAGGGACTTATATAGCTCTTTACTATGTAATACTTTACACCCGAAGCGCTTTACAATCCTATCAGGGGGTCTCCCCTCAACCACCACCAGTGTGTGCAGCATCCACTTGGATGATCTGACGGCAGCCACAGAACAACAGCGCCAGTGCGCTCACCCACACACCAGCTATAGGTGGAGGGGATTATTATGAGGCCAAGATTGATAAAGGCCAATGTAGGGAATTTGGCCAGGAGACTGGCGTTACATCCCCACTCTTTATGAGAAGTGCCATGTTTTTTTTTTTATGACCACAGAGAGTCAGGACCTCGGTTTACCATCTCATCCAAAGGACAGATGACTTTCCTCAAAAGATAAGGTGAGTTAACCTGAATAAAGTCATTTTTACATACAGTCATTTGAAAATGTTAGGGGGTTTCTACTGAAAAAGAAGAGGGGAGCTGGCAGATAATAGCCAGACAAAATACGAGGGTGAGAAATGAGACTATGAGCTCAAATGATGTCATTAGACTTGAGTCATGAGAAGTTCAGACTGAAAACCCACATGATGCAAGTTTAGAGAGAGCGAGAGACAGACTTTCAGACAGGGGTACATGGTTAATCGAAATAAAATAGAATAAAATCGTGTGATTTAATCAAATAAATATGTGCAGAAAATTCTGGCCCACATGAACTCCATCTCTGTAAGCATTGTGAGTCGCTTATAACATACATTTGGGAATCTTCCATACCTTGTAATGAGAAGCACTTATAAACCGCTGTTAACAACAAAAGAGCTTTAAAGTAACAACAGGTAGTTTTTTGCTCTCGGGCTCCCCCTACAGTTGGGAAACAGTATTGTCCTCTACTACTGTCGTAAACTCTGTCATCCTACATGCACGTGCAATTGTTGACAACCATGATAGCCCTGAACACTGTAGGAGGAGGTCACATGCAGGTGTTCTGCTTGCATCGCGTGTGAAATGTCTTCATCCCAGGTACAGTGGCATATATTTCAGCATGTCATATGAATATAATTTCATGGGTTTTATTTTTTTTTCTAACGACAAATGATCGCGATGCTCACGTTTACAAGCCAGCGTCATTATAGTAGCCTAGTCTATTGGTTACCATTTTACTGAATCTATATGATACTTCAATGCAATGTTTGAGTGGTTGATAATAACCATATATCGTCAATATTATAATATCAAGCTACCATAAATGAATCTGCACATTTTACAAATCGATTTGCATTATAGCTTGAGGCAAGACAAATAAACAAATATCACAGACATGTTAGGTATCCTAAAATATGATTTTATTAATAATCTTCCTCCTTTCTTTGTACATGTTGAGTAGACTACACTTTTTAGGTCAAACATTTGCTATTTGCATTTCATCGATTGCAAAGTTCAAATCAGAACGAGAATACTAGCGATAGCTAACCATCAAAAACTAGAATATCGTTTACTAGCTACCAGATTGATAATTCGCTACTACTCTAGTGAATTAGGGAGGTTAGAGAGAGGCATTCTTTTTTCGATGGGGGGTTCGATGCTCCCTGCACACGCAAGGTCTCTCGCTCGCTTTCTCTCTCTGCCGTCCGCGCGCGTTGGAGCACAGTCTCTGTCTCGCGTGCGCGCTCGCTCTAGATTCCGGGAGATTTGAACTAATTTGCGGTATAACTTGTCGATCACGAGTGGCTCAACAGGTAGAGATCTATAGATAAACTCATCTTTCAGGCATTTGACCGACCGGGTTGACAATTTAGCGTGAGAAACCGGGGGTGTGGCGTGTGAGCGTGTGAAACCAATTAAATGCGGGTGTCTCACGGCCAATGCGTGAGAGTTGGCAGCTCTGCAATGTTGATCCTCGTTCTGCCTTTAACGCGATCACTCTCTTTTTCTCTTTTTGCTTTGCTCCGATAAAACCTTTGCTGTCTTGTTTTTCTGTGCTGCTTCGGCCATGACTGTAACATTTGGCTCGCAAGTCCGATTTTAAGGAAGTGGGGGTGGTGGTGGAAGTGACGTATATGCCGTAAAGCAGTCGAATTTTGTAGTTCTCTTTGTTCGCCGGTTACTACCCGAAACCCGAAGTTTAAAAGTACGATTAAAAACGCTACAGACCCCGTCAGGCTATGGCAGACGTGTCATTCAACCTATTGTAAGTCGATGTACCATCACAAGAGACTTGGAAATATATTATGAAGGCTGAAAAGTTACCTGTTGTTACTTTAAGGGCTTTCTGTGGGTTTCAGCCAAAATAAAAAGTTTGATGGTTCAAGACAGTCAAACATTAGTATTGTCATTTTACAGTTTTACTGTAATTTTACAGTTTTACTGTAAAATAAGGTTATTATTATATTTGTTTTAAAACTTTTTTTACATATAGTAATATCATAACATTTTTGGTCAAATTGCACAGCAAACCTGGAGCTTAATAAATAAATATTAAACAATAAATAACAATTTGATTTTTTTACCCAAAACATGCAGCCCTATTTTCAGACCTTAGACTTCTCTTGATGAAAGGATTCGATCAGCTGTTCTCCAAATAAGCCAAACTCATTAAATGACTAAGAATGCAGACCCTCCTCACCAGATCACTTTAACACTAGAACTCGAGTCCCAAGGCAGTCATTTTGACTGTTTTAAAATTTTGCAATGTAATAACTTTGTTGACATAAAACCCATGTAACTATAGGACCCTGACTTTTCCTAAATGTGTCTATATTTTATTCTATCATTGTTATTTTATTAAAATTACAAGACACAAAAGAGTTTTGAGTATTTCTACCTTGGATGGCCATAGCAGTCATACTGACCGTATGCATTACAGACCGTCAGTTGCTCCTTTTTCCCGCTCTTGAAGATGCATCACCGTTGACTAGCAACAATTTCTCTTGTTGTTTGTTTAGTTTATTGCAATTCTGAAATCTAGCATTAGCTTCGAGCTAAAACCAAATTGAAATATTGAAAAGAGAATATCAGAACAATGTCAGCAAGAAGAATGACTGCCACAGAGGCTTTAGCCATGCTTCAGAGCCTTGATGAGGCTGAGTAGTTGTTGGTTAACTAATACATTTTTACATAAATCATAATTAAAATGTAGTGTTCTGATGTTTATTATTACCTATCCTAACATTACAGATCCATTTATTCTTAGATTTGATATAGCTTATTGAAATTATATGCAAATAATGTATGAGCAGTCAGAATGACTGCTATGGCCATTATAGTAGTTATAGAATTTCGGGAGTCCTAGTGTTAACTACGGCTCTCTTCACACATCAGCAGAATACTTCTGAAGAGCTAAATAAAATTTTTAAAAAATGCTTTACATTTTCAGATTTAAAACTGAATTTTGACAATTAATTGTTTATATGTATTCACTGAATACAACCACAACTAGCTGCCTTTGACGTCATTGACATCTGTATGACAACGCGCACTTCATGGCAGTTTCCTTTTTGCTAACATCAGTAAAGTTAGAGCTGTAAACCTACCTCAGGTTATAAAGAATGGGAGAAAATGCTATCATGTGTTCAGAAAGTGTGACAAACTCCCATTAGGGTTTGGACAGAGAAGGAAACAAAAACTAAAAAATGGAACGGGATATGAGAGGATGAAAGCAGTGGGAGTAAACCAACATGCTAAACGGTTCAAAATGGATTAAAAATACTATTATTGTTATGGGTTTGTATAAGAGTACGTACGTGGGCCTTCTCTCTCCTTGCCTCCTGCAGTATATCATAGTAATGCTGGGCCAAAGATGGATCTATATCTGTTAGCTTGGCGGCTGGGTTCTGTAAAGCAGCCATTGTCTTCTGTAGGTCACCCTCATCCAGAGCCTCGTTGATCAGACCAATAGCAGCAATCCCTGAAAATGCAAGAGGACACGTACACTGTTCATAATGGAGAACAATCTGAATTTGCCCCGCTCATAATGAGGATGAATGCCATGCTTACTTTCATGCTCTTCTTGAACAGTACCGTTGACCTGGTCCACACAGGCCTGGATGTCATTCCAGGTGAGATAGTCACTGCCCTCCTCATGCGCAGCTGCCTTCAGACGTATCAGCTCATCTATATACCTGCAGGGAATCAACAAGCAGTGGCTAAAACCAGGAAACAATTTGGCATCTTCTGTAGTCAACATGAAACTCATTCACAACACATTTTACTTTAGTGGTTTGGCATATTTCTGAGCAAAACAAAGTAGGCTGGGACCTAATTTTATCCATCGGGACTAATTTGATCGTGAAAAGTGGGTGTTCCATACAAGAAAAGAGCCTGCGAGTTAGCTAAAATAATGCCTAAATAGCTATTTGGCTAATGGTTGACAATGTAATGGCCCATGCAGCCTGTGACTTTCAGCTGAAAGGAAAGTCATTCCAGAGGCCAAGTAATATCACCCACACATTTCATGATTTTAGCCCTGGTTTTCAGTTCACAGACAGGTAATGGAGATCGCAGACAAAAGCCCAAAATTGGAAATTGGAAATTCGGAGCTCGTTCACGCGAATGACAATCGCTGTTTGAATGATCAAAGACGCTGAGAAATCCAATGAACCGCTGATGACCAAGAGATATTTATCAAGTTACATGTATCTAGACTGGTCTGTGAGTACTGTGGTGTGAAATGTGTTTTGACTGGAACTGTCATCGGTGATGTGGTGTAAAAATAACAGTAATCTGACGACTCTGGGCCCATTTACACCTACTACTTCTGGGCCCGTATTCCTAAAGAATCTTAATGTAAAAAGTAGCTCCTAGTGACAAAATTCTAAGAAAATTCTTAGAAATGTGGGCGTTTACTCTTAAAATTAAAGAAAAAATCCTAGTAAAGAAAAAAGTAATTCAGAAAGCATCTTAACCCTTAAAAGAGGTCTTAAGGTCAAAATTGTTAGGAGTATGGATGAGGACTTTTAAGAGGCTTAAGAGTTTCTTTAGCAGAGGAGAAAATGACAGAACGATGAAGAGGGAGAAGAAATGTGATGCAGACAATAGATGACGACAGTGAGTTAATAAGACGCTATAGATGAGATTGTGCAGTGATCACGTTTGTGACTGATCTTATTAGAGACACGCTAATATCTCCGACACAGCGCAGGAATGCCATAACGCCAGAAATGATCACTACATTAAGATATTTGGCAAATGGGAAAATGCAATAAAGCAATAGTGATTTGGGTCTGTGACAACCTTCTGTAAGCAGTGATCACACAAACATTACAGCACTTTCAGAACCTCTTATTGTGTCGCAGTTCATTTAGTTTCCACTGGACATTCCCACCTTGCAGGCTCAAAAAACTGTATTTATGAATATAGCAGGCTTCCCTGGTGCGCACAAGCAGGGGAATGAACCGTTAATAATGTGCGCTATAAGCTCCCACGTCCACTTCTCGCTCCATGCTGTGACACCCTGCCCGAATTTTCCTTTAAGGACGGCCTAGTGTTCATCCACTAACTCGGCTAACAGTTAACACGGTTCTTCTGACCAGTCAGGCTTTCTCGTCTTTCTTGTTTTTTTAATCCATGTTTTCAAAACAAACATTCAAACCACCACTTAAATAGACAGCAATCAGTGTAATTGGAAAGAGTGGAACAATTTTTATCATTCTAAGCCAATCAAATTAACAGCAAGGTAAAAAAAAGGATTTATATACATAAAAATAATGTGCGTGTGTGTGTGTGCATGTGTGAGTAAACTCTATACTTAAAATGGCTCTTTTTTTTCCTTCTTGGACAACCAACCAATCACAGTCTTCAAAAGATTGTGTCATACATAGCAACGGGGTCAGCCCCGCCTCCTCACTAAGATGAGAGTTTTTGTCTTTTCCTTACTCAGAGTTGCTCTCAGATCGGTCCCGAATCACTCTTAAGCTAAGACTCCTACGTAAAAGTTTTTAAGCTAAATTAAGAGTTTTCTAAAAGGATTCTTAGATTCTTTAGGAATACGGGCCCTGGTCTTTTCACAATCAAGATAGCGGGTTTTAGTAATTAAAATACTGCAGCAGGTGCTGTTTATGGATCACAAGTGCTCAAAACTTGCATTTTGTTCAGATTCTTTCAGAGGACTTTAATGCCAACGTCGCCACGCCTCTGGACAATGCCTGCCCCACAAAGCCATCCGATCCGAAAAAATAAGGTGCAAATGCCTTCCGAAATGCTTTTGAGACGGATTTAAATCAGATCACTCAAACCACTTCAAGAGGTGTCACATGTAAATGCATCTGGTTGTTGAAGGCACATACATAAACACAAAAATGGTTTAAAAATATATATATGAGAGCATGTTATCGGCTACTGGCTCCTGGTAGCCATATATGACAAAACTACTACAATTCGCATCGCTACATTATGGCCGGCCAGAGATGAACAGTTGAGCATATTTCTTCAGCAAGCAGACGCGCAACGCTGCCACAAATGAAATTCAACATTTGCTGTCACAGACTGAAAGCTCAACAGTCTTTTGCATTAAAAGTGGTGAGCCCTACATAAAGTTACAAGTGTAAATATATAGCCTTTGAAAGCAATAGTTGCTGTACTTTGATGAAAGGCCAAGATTAAGACCACTAAAAAAAAATTGTGCACAATAATGTGTATTGAAGTAAATGGGACCAGTTTCAATTGCACGTTGACTTTAACCACAAGCCTCATTCTCACCTCTGGGCGTACTCGTCCTCTACATTGCTGAGGCCGGTGACGTTACTGCTGAGCTGTTTCCACACTGCTGCCCGGTCCTTGACATCCAGTGCCTCGTTTATCAGCACCACCGAGGACAGCATCTCCACAGCAACCAACAGCTCGGGGTGAGACAAGGAGCCCTGTGCAGTCAAGCAAAGCACCAAAATCACTCACACTAAACTAAAAGGTTACAGTTCATCTACTTATGTAAACTGCATGTAAAAAATTGCTCTGCTCTAAAACCTAGTGAGCTGCTTACACAGGCATCATAGGTGCACACCTTGAGGTCAATTCACACCACACAGTCAAACACCAATAAACAAGTTGGCCGTTGGATTTAGATTTTATGAAATATAACGGTCATGTTCACACTGCCCCAAAAGACACGACAAACGCTGATTGAACAGATTCAGTCGGGTGAAAACAAACCCTGACCAACGCTGTGTTCCAAAGCTCTATGAATTGCTATAGTGTGATTATTAAAATTCCTTTCTATGTAAAGCTTTTGAATAACTGTTTGAATTTTCCTTGCTTTTATTTTGTGATTATTTCATCTCTATGTAAAGCACTTTGAATTGTCATAGTGTATGAAATGTGCTATATAAATAAACTTGATAAAACAAATACCAATAAAACAAATCTGTTTATTGGTATTTGTCTGTGCTGTGTGAATTGGCCTTTAAATATACGGTCTCTTAAGATGCCTAATTTTGACAATATTCTAAGTCAGAATTACATGTATCCTTCTCGGAGAAGGCAATCCCAGAATTCATTTTGACAAGTGAAAAAAGATGCTGGACATCGTGAGAGATGTGTCAAGAACAGGGCTGTCGTCCCAGTATCAGATTTTCACTACCAAATAATTCACAATAACGGTATTATCATGGTAATTTTTTTTTCCTATCAGTCAATGCTATCAAATTCATCTTTAATCTTTGGCCAATGAATCGCACTAAAAATAACACTGTGCAGAGTGGCGGAGAGAGAGTCTTATTACAGTAGTGTGGCATTAGCTTGGCAAGCGCACACCAAAAGCTAATGATCGGCACTTCCTGCACCCTAGTGTCTAGCTCTTTGTTTTTTACGGAATTTAAAAAACTGGCAGGCTCATTTTTTCCAGGCACGGGTAGAGGGTAGACTTTCATCCGTCATCTACACTAACATGATTTTGTGTGACCGTAGTAGTCACACAGTGTCGGTGTCTTCTTTTTTTCCATTTTAAGAGGGGTGACAATATCGCCACCTATGTTAGAGGATCAACCAGAGTGGTGCTGGATTATTTACGATATTATTGGATGTGTAGTATTAACATGATAATAATAAAAATAATAATAATACATTTTTTAAATGTCACAATTATCATCAATGCTCTTGTATTGCGACAGCCTTGTTTTGATCAAATGTATTGATAAAAATGGTTCAGTGCAAGTTAAATTGAAATGTTTTACCAAATATCTTGCCATTAGATCATGGCGATATGGCTATTGCTAAACTACTGAAATCAAGAGCTGGTCCCCTTTGTAGAGCAATCCATATTGAACACTTAATAGGGGCCACGACCGTGAAGCCTTGTTTATACTCGACGCGTCCGCACGAGCGCGAGTCTCCGCTGACTGCGCGCGGACCTCTCCATATGGACGAGGCGTTTATACTTGACGCGCTCGCCGTTGTGCTATTCTGTGAAACGACAGGGGGCGACTCGGAGTAATTCTCCTCTAAACCACCAGGAATCAGCAGTGAAGAAGTAGTTTGCCATTTATTAGTAGTTTATTAATTTCTGATTCATATAAAAAGAGTAATAAATGCAGTAGGTTTATTGTACTTTCACTGCATGTAAACTAGTAAACAACTGAAGCCTTATTGAAGAGTGTTTAAACCTTAATTTCATCAGCAGGGCTTACTTCTGCTATTGTAGGCTTATTTTGTAAATATAAGCAGTTACTTTAGAGTGCAAACTGGGTGCTTAATGTAAATGTGTTCCTATTCAAAAAATGAGAGGCTTTTATGGTCGCCCATCAATGCAAATGTCTCTGTGTATAGAAGGATCATAAACATGCTGATACAGACGCACCAGTTCGGCCAGATTCGGCTCGAAGTCGTTCATCTTCGGATGCGGCGCCGCGCGCGATGTTACAAAAAGTGCCGTGCACACCGCCAGGCGAAATGGGGTCTTGCGCACCCAACGCGCACGACCGCCCACACCGCAATGACGTCATTTTTGCCGCGCGCACTTCGCGCTCTTGCGGACGCGTCGAGTATAAACAAGGCTTTAGGATTCTGCAATGTAAGGCAGCTGTCTGTGTAGGCCATAGGAAGCTCTCTTGGTTCTGGAGACAGTTGTTGTCTCTTTAGAAATAGGGTTACAGCAAAATAATGTGCTAGAGAGTGAGCAGAGATTGTGTGTTTTAACCTCTGCGCTCTGCTGTTGCAGGCTGGCGAGTTCTCTCTGGTACAGATCTGCAGCACTAGGATAAACCTGCGGCAGCTGGGCATCTGGGTTCATCAGTTCATTCACTGTTTCCTCTGCTACACCTTTTCTGATGGCACCATTAATCCTTTCCACTGCCCGCAGCACTGAGACACACACACATGCACACACAATCTCATTGTTCTTTTCACAGAGTGACAGCTGTAGGACAGCATAAATGAACACATAAAAGAGAGACAAAGAAAACACTGGCGTCTCTGATGTATGGTTCTGAACACACAAAATATTTCATGAGTTTAAAAAAATAATGTAGTGATACATAAGAGTACACACATCTTTGATAGTCCGCTGCATGCGAATTGGCTGCCTCTACTCCACTCTGTAACTCCTCCTTCACCAGCGGCTCTCCCGGGGCATTCTAGGCATGAGGAAGAATGACACAAGCCAAAATTATGAGATACTTTTAATTTAGAAGAGACCGTTCATATTTTTCACAGTTTGGTTTGTATCACGAATCAGTTGTGGTACAGTAAGGAATTGCTACTTCATTAATAGGGGTGTGCAATGATTTGGAAATCTGAGACCAAAACAGATAACCAAAATTTTAACATCATAAACAGAGGCCAATGTAAATCTGATAGTGATATTAATATTTACTGCTGTTTTAAAAAAAAATCTTTTTCACTCACTTTTAAAAACATTAAGCCATACGCTGCAGTTCTAAGCTTGAGTCAGTAAGACTTTTAAGAAAAATAAATTATTATATCAAGGATGCATTAAATGATTAAAAGTGACACTAAAGACTTTTACAATGTTACCAAATATTTCCGTTTAAAATAAATGCTTTCTATTCATAGAAGAATCCAGAGAAAATGTTTCACAGTTTCCACAATCATATTAACCAGCACAACGGTTTTCAACATTAATAATTATAATAAGAAATGTTTCTTGAGCAGCAAATCAGCATATCATTTTGATTTCTGAATGATACTGAAGACTAAAGTATAAATATAAATACAATATATTCATTTATTTTAAACCGTAACAATATTTAAAAATATAATTGTTCTTCTATGTATACTTCTGTAAGAGACTTTTTACGGACCCCAAAATTTTGAACGGTTCTGTATATTGCAGGGGAAAAAAACTCTTGCAGACAAAATGTAAATTTTGTGATATCTACAATTAGCTTACCCTTTTTTGAAATTTGTTTAGGATTAAGTAGCACAAATCACTTATAACTAAGCATTTTAAGGAAAAAAAAGACGTCTCAGTGCTGTTATTGCAGAATATTTTTATGCGGAATGAACCCTTATTGCTGTTATTATGGTTATCATGACCAGCATATATTTCTGTTGAGCTCTGGGCTTTGTCAGAGATGTGCTGTCCCTGAACTCTTGAAAAGGGACAGCACATAATACATGTGCATTCATTCAATATTTAGAATTCTAAAGGCATCATTAGACAAAATCGAACCTCGGTACAAAAGTTGACCAAACTATAAGTAGCAAACCATTGCGAGGAGCAGAACCTGTTACCTGTTCCTTCTGCTCTCGATCGGCCAGTAGCTGTTTGAGGTACCATCCCTTGTTCTGAGCCTGCACTGACTGCAGGCCTAGCGCAGGGGAGCGGAGAGCGTCATACAGCTTGTCCTCATCCTCACCCAGCAGGGCCTGTTCTGCCGAATTCAAGGCTTTGGACACTGAGAATCAGCACAAGCACAGAACTCAGATCACATCATTCACTTCAGAAGAGCACAGAGAGATAGACGTAGACATGGGTGAGGAACTTACGATTGACTTTGTTGATGTTTCCTTGGATTTCAGCCTGTGTAAGCAGCTCATCGTAAGCATCCCTTTCAGCCTCAGCATTCTCGCCAATCTATACCAAAGAAATACATACAATCTTCATACTATGACAATGGATAGATTATCAACAATGTTGTTACTGTAAACTGAAACTAAAAGTATAGTGTCCGTTAACCGAAAAAAAAATTAGATGAAAAAAAGAAACTTACATTTTAACAAAACTTATAAATGTTGCCTTGGCAACTGAAATAAAATAAGCAGAGTTTGAAGTACTAAAATTACTAAAACTGAAATCAAAATAAATTAAAGCTAATTAGAAATATTAAAAAATTTAAATAAATAAGCACATAAAATTACTAAAACTTTAATTAAAATAAAAACTGAAAAAATAAAAGCTAATTTATACTATAATGGTATATAAATAATAATAAAATTACACTGATTGTCAATATTTGTTTAGCTGATTGAATCACACTAATAGCGCTCTACATTCAGTTAATAAGAATTAAGAATGTTGATAAGCTAAAAAAAAAGGACATTTATTTTTATTGATACATTTTATTGAGTAAAATGCAAGGATGTTTATGGCAGTCTGCTGTCTTGAATATATTTCAGTGATCTTGTCGCAAAGCTTCATAATTTTAATCATGAGGGGTGCATGCTTGGCCAGAATTCGTTATTTCAGTTAAGTTTATAGATAGTGGACAGAATTTAGAGAAATTATCATTATAAATATCCCTGTATTTTATATAATAATTATGCTGCCTACTATTTAGAACAAACTTCACATCACACTTCTGATTAGGGATGCTCATAATTAACCAATTACCAACATTAAGCATTTTAAAAGTAAGTTTTCTAGATATTTTGAAAATGTTTGCTGATTGATAAAAAAAAAAAAAAACGCCACATATAAAATTGAGCTTTTGAGAGGGGAAAAAAACCCCCTGAAAAGTCGCATTTTATTACATTCATGTAAAATACCAGCAGGCCTAAATAAAGTGAAATGTTTATAAACATTAAAAACACAGCTCTCTCAACAATAAATACTTTAAATTTACCAGTATTCAGAACAGAACAAGAATGAAAAATAAAACTAGCTATATAAACCTCAAGCCAAAATTAATTTAAAGCGAAACTGAAACAGAACGTTGGGCTCACGTAAATAACCTCTCTCATTCGGCACAAATCCAGATGTTTCCATATTCGCAATGTATTTGGATGCTAAGCTATTATTTATTATGTAAAGTAGGCTTTGTACTTCACTCGCGTTACAATATCCACGTGAAACATCATCCTTCACATGCGCAGAAATGTGCTTGGCATAACAACCCAGTCGGGCGGTGCTCACACATAACGGCACAGATTGTACTGTACTGGACTATTTAAATTAAGCCGTGTAACTTTTTGTATGTTTGGTAGTGACTATATTTTATTTTGATAATGAACAGGCTGTGATGTCATGTTCACAAGAGCTGATAGGCTAGTATGTTGTGTGTGTGCGCGTGAGGCGTCTGCGCGATCATTTAAATGATTTTTTTTCCTTATAACAGCGGAAACAACTTAAAATACTCCGTCATTTATGGTCATACAGATAAGAGTAAGACGACATAATTAGAAACTGTAAAGGGTTTAATTTATTTGTGTACAGTTGTTTTTGGAGCGCGTCACAAAAATGAACCGAAACTCCGCATATAGGCTACAACTTGTTGCACAGTTTTTTCTTTCGTTTTGTCAATCTGTGAATTATTTCAGTGATATACATTTTGCGTATTTTGTCCTTTTATACATATATTCTTATTTTGATTTTCTCCGTTCACAGAAGAAATTCAGGTGCATGATGTAATGCCATTTGCGTAAAAAAATCCCTCTCGAAATCAAATTTTGTTATTTTTAATGGGTCATGGACACTTATCCATTCTAATTTAACATAATCTTGTCGGTTAATAGTTAAATGATCAGTTAACGAGTTTCGGTTGTCGGTTAGGGGAAAACCCCGAAATTAACATCCCTACTTCTGATGCCTTAAAATGCTGTCTAGCTAGGTTTATTGACAGAGATATACAACCTTAGTTACCCAACTATTACTAATCTTTTAATAGGAACTGTAGAGTGCAGTTCGTACTCTCTTTCGGGAGTTGGCCACTTTCTCAGTCTTGGCCTGGAACAAGGTGTCCTGGTAGTGCTGGGCAGCCCTTTCATCCATCTGCAGTAACATGGCGTTTGGGTTTCTCATGGCAGCTAGAGTACCCTCAGGGACTCCGTGGTCAATGGCGTCATTGATGGCGATCACAGCAGCGTGCACTGAATCATTGCAAACAGAAAATATTGCTGTTCTTTTGGTGTTCAAATCAATGTAAAACAGATCGTAATTACTGTGCTGTTAAACTCTTGGCTATGCAAGTTAAGTCTAGTTGTTTATGTTTACAAGGGAAGGAGTTGCGCCAAAGAGCCAAGAGGAATTCGACTTTAAAAGCAGAAACAATACTCACAGGCTGCTTCATCCACTGACAGTTCGTTAGCTAAAATCCCACCAATTTTGCTGAATGATGGCATTTGAATGTTGTATTTCTCTAATTCAATCTTCATGTTGTTAATCTCCTCCTCTGAAAAGACAAAAAACAAACTCAGCACACAAGTCACAAAAAATGGGATTATTTGTCTCAGTGGAAAGTATATTGTTTGTTTTCATTATTTTATACAAAAAGTATCTGGATAGACTTCAGATAAATCTGGATAAATATTGCAATGTCATGCTGTAATAAGCATGGTAACCTTTTGGAAGGTAATCTTGGCTGTGTTTTTTTCCTCGCTTTAATGTGATTGGCTGGACATTGTTCTCAATAGGTCTGGTAAATAATGTTTTCCACTCATAGACTTGGCAGGCAGTTCGAGCAAGCCAAAATGGCAGGAAACACTCATACAATTGATAATGATTTTCACATTGACTGGAGCTCCCAGGAACAGGGGCTTTTCTAGATGTTATTGCATAAACTCAAGCTTTTGTTTGATACCACAGCTAGCTGACTCACCTGTGAAGGCGACCTTGCCATACAGGTCTGTAATCTGGGGCGCAAGGCCAAGTTTAAACAGGTAGAGGCTGTAGAGAAAACAGAAAGAGATCATGAGCAACAAATTTCCCAGAGGAGAGCGATCCTATTCCACAGGTGTGTGCGGGAAAAGGCACTACTGAAAAGAGAGTCAGATGTTATCTGCATGACTTTCAAGTTGAACCCACATCCCTTCATCAACATTTGCTACAGAGACCCACAACTTGATTCAGTACCCCTCACCCCACGCCAGACCTCCGCAAAATTCTCGCCACCTAAATGCTGTTATTTCCTGTTTCTGAAGGCCAGATTTATGCCCTTTGGGCCCAGTGTCAATTCTGCATTGAGCAAGAATGTGAGAGTTACACATGGCAGGATTCTCTAGCCTCATGTTAAGTGGCTCAGCAGAAACCAGAACAGGTTTCCTCATTAATTCTGACTCATTAAATACAAGATGAGGAAGTGTAGATGCAGATCAAATCTACACAGCGTCATTCCCTTGCACTTCTAGGATGATTAACATAATTTAACAAAAAAAAAAGTTAAGGCCTAAATATGCATATCATCTTTAAGAAGCTAATTTGAAACTGCAAGTATTTAACTAAGTAATTTATAGGTACAGTATTTATATGCAGGCATTTATCCTCAATAAAATGACACTCAATACAACTAATGACACTAAAAACCATTTTGCTCTAAAGTGAAGTATTTAATTTACATGAAACCCTGAATGTACTAGTTCACTAAAAGGAATTATAATATACAAGTAAATAGCTCATTTGAACAGGAAGTGTGAGAATGAACAGACTAACTAAACGACTAGTATTTTGTTACTGGATAAGCTCTACCATTATGAACACAGCTGAACTACTGCAACACAAAATATTTGTAAGCGTTTTTTCGAAGTACACACTAGGTACCTGAGAGCATGTATGCAATAGATGCAGCGGGGCATGTTCTTCCTGTCGTAGATGTCTGTTGTCTCAGGATAGAAAATCTGACAGGGAGAGACAAGTATATGTACTTTGATGAGATTGAATACAGCATTGTTTCCAAACATGGGAAAGGAGATCAGAGGCTAGCTCTGTCATGTTAGTGACTCAATAAAGCCGTAGAAATGCTGCTAATGACAGAACCATGTAGACTCGTGTTCAACTTCACCACCTACACTCCTCACCTTAGGAAGGCCCTTATCGGTCATTGCATTCAGCCATTGGATGATATTGTCTGTATGTCTGAAATGGAGCCCAGTGGCCTACAAATGGGACAAAGAAGCAACAAGTGAATCCATACCTTCTGCTTTTTCCATATCAGTGCTTGTGAAAATGGTTTTTAACTTAAGTCTTACCTTGTAACGTGTTTGTTCGCGGTCATAGATCCTTTTGATAGAGACCACACTGGGAGCGAAGAAGTTTCCCAGCTTGGCCAGATACACGCCGTTCCTCAGGCCCTCCTCCAGCTCGGTGGTGGGCGGAAGATCCTCATTTAAACACGCTTCAATCCATCTGAAACACAAAGACACATGGCATTGTATTCAGCAAGGTAATGCACACTTTTGTACATGATGCAAGTTACTAAGTTACAACAACTACCTAAGCAATGCAAAAGTATGCTGTTATAAGAGAGACATCGTGTTAGGCTTGCTCATTATAGTGCATTTGTACGGCTTGGCAGAGTTTTCAAACACATTTGAATACCTTTATATAGTTTAAACCTCTGGGGGAAATACAAAGTCAAATATAAAAGAATCGGTACAAAAGGTGGCACTCATGTTATGAAAATAAGCACATTGCCACACCCTGTTCTCTTTTTCATTTGTTATGAGGCTTTATTACAAGAGGATTTTGTCCAAAGACCAACAAAATACCACATACCAACTGGTTATATCATGTGCATCACATTGACAACATTCTCCTGCACATTTCAACCTGCTGAAATTAACATAAAAACATTCCAAGGCGGCCAAGAAATGTTTTCAAACAGAAACCACACAACATACTTCAAATATTGAACATCTGTAACAGATGTTAACAAAAAACAGGAACTGAAATGGAGAACAAAATATCTTGCTCTGCTATGGTTGTCGTCTACTTGCGGGTCAGATAGATGACGTAACAATAGATGATGATGCAAAGTTCCCATGGGATTTACATGTAATTTACATACTGCTAGTTGTCTGCTTTGCAAAGGCTAATTCTGTTTGTTCTAGAAAAGCAGCAGACTAGCTGTGTCCGTTTCTTAAAGGCATAGTTACCCAAAGATGAACTCATTTACTCAAATGTCATGATGCTCCAAAACTGAATCACTTCAGAAGTTCTCCCTTTTGTGTTCTTCAGAAGAAAGCAGAATGGGACTAGGGGACAGTTTAGCTCCAATAAGGACCACAAAAAAAAAAATCATAAAAAGTAATCCATGCAACTCATGCAATGTCATCCAAATAAAGCCATACAATATCTTTATATAAATTTACTTTTGCACTTTTTATAGTAGTGTTCTTTTGCACAAAGAGAACACAACTATCAAGAACAATAGTAAAGTATCAGAACATTTTCAACCAGTATCATCAAGATATATTTTCCGAGCTGGAATGTTTTAGTCCGGATTAAAATGTGAAAATGCATAAGTCTGAAAACAAATATAAAGTATTTAAGCACATGGTGATTTCTGATAAACACCACAGTGAATACAAAAATTTAAATGGCTATTTGAAAACATCCAAATACTGTTTGACTTCCTTTCATTAACTTGTGGACATCAGAAACAGAATAGGGATGCACGATATAGGATTTTGGCCGATATTCGATATGCCGATATTTTCAAACTAATTTTGCCCGATGCCGATCATTTTAAGCTTTTATCGGCCGATACCGATGTTGTCCCGATATCATCGTGCATCCCTAAAACAGAATGTTGCGCAGCACTGCTTTGTGTACAGGGGTAACCGGGTTGATGGAAAAAAGCTAATGTGCATTATACAAATCTAGACAATTTGGATGAGCTATATTAAATAATTTGCTGTATTTTAATTGGCCATGATAACAACAGGGATGTTACCAAAGACAAGTTCCCCCCAATAATTAGAAATGACCAAAATGTACCCCCCAACATTATCAATGCTGCTCTGCCGCCCTCCATTACACACTGTGACTGCTCTGTTTGTTGTTAGGATGACAAAACGTTTTTAGGTTGGTTGGTCAGCTTCAGCAGTCTAGTGGCACTCATCAATGTCAAAATGTTTGAGCTGGCCAATCAAAGCAAAGAAGCAAGGCTTTACTAGTGGTGTACAAGTGTGAATTCCAGCATTCAGTTTTAATGGTGAAAGAGTGCAAGGTATTATGCAAATAGTCAAATATGAAATACGATCTGAACAATTTACATCTGCCAGCTCATCTCTCTAGGTATTGCCGTTACAGGTGATTTTTGTTACAGAGAGGTGTAATTTAAAACTAGCCTGACTTAATTCATATCTAGATAGTCACACACTATGAGCTTAATTAACTTCACCGGTAAGAGCAAAAAGTTTTGTAGAAGCTGCTTAATGTTTTGACATAACATTACTAACATAAACGTCACTTGGGTGAAGGCGGCATTTATTAATTAAAAAGTTAAGAAAAAGGAGATTTTTCAATGACTCAATTAGGCTCAGCCAACCACAGGTGTGGTGCTGCCTCTCTCCATCTTAGCTGGTCATCTCACTCCAGCATTCAAAGGTGGCTTTGGCATGCCTGTGGACATTAGAGGTTGCAAAGGAAATCTTCGGAGTCTGCCATTTTTGCCACATGGGGTCAGATGCCTTTTGATCTTGCCGGGTTTATCCACTGCCTTCTTTCTACCCATTGACCTGTTTTTCAGCTTTTCATTGAAGGAGCCACTCCAGCAGCATAAAATGTCATCCCACTCGTCCCAGCATTCAAAGGTGGCTTTCTGGTGGACAATTAGAGGTGGCAATTAGAGGTGGCAAAGGAAACATGTGGTATCCATCTTTCCCTGCAGTTCATTAATGTACATGGGTTCTCCTCTTCCTTCTTTCCTTTGACCTGCTTGTCATTGAAGGAGCCAGCAGAATACATGTCACCCCACTCGTCCCAGTATTCACAGAAGGCTTCGCTGTTACAGGAGAACTTAGGAAGTGGGCACATCACATCTGACTGGCTGACTGTCTTCTTCCAGCCATCATCCCATGTACTCCAGTCAACATCCTCATCCCAAATTTCATCAGTCGTGAAATCTCCCCAGTCAATCACTTCATCCCACTTGTTCAACGACATCCAGTGCTCATCGTCGGCCGATAAGATGGAGGACTGCAGAACACTTTTCATTTCTAGCTTTAAAACTAGCAAAAACACAGACCAGTGATTGTGCTGAATTTATTGTGTTCTCAATTTCAACATTGTACTGGATGCCAGCAGCCTTGGCTGATGATGAGACATCACTTCAAGAAAGGTTCCATTTACAAAGAGTCATCAATTTTCTCTGTGTAAAAATTAAAAGATTTACACTACAAACATCTCATTTATACTTTGATTTGCAATTATATTAATATGATCTAAAACTGGTCGGTGCCAGTAGGTTCCCTTGTTTCAGTTTATTTATAACACGAATTCAAGCTTTTCACCTGAATTCCATGTACTTCAATCTGTAGCAGACAAATATAAAAATGTTAGCCTATATAATAAGACAACCACTTTTATTAAGTGTAATTTCGGGATGTAATTTTTCAAATTATGCAAAATGTGTGAACATATTATTTGTGTTCACATAACATTTTAGCTATTAAATTAATTAGCCATAGCAGCACAAAGGAGTTTTCTTTTATACATTTACATTTTATTTCTTGTTTAAAATTGTATTTTATAGACACTAGGCGCGTTTCCACTGTCGGGCCCAAAGCGGTCATGCTAGTGCGTGCCAGAGCCAGTCGCGTGTCCACTGTCACTTCCGGGGTTTGATCGGGCCTCGCCGGGACTTCCACTGGGCCAACGGCCAGGGTTTTTTGGCCTGCCGACTACCTCGGTCCAAAGTGGGCCAACTCGTGCTTGAAGAGTGGTTACGAACAGAGGCGGAGTTTACCTGAGTCTGGAGACGGCAGCGCCGGATGATTTCATATACCATCTAACATCAGCATTAAAGACTTTTAAAACCGTTTTAGCTCAAAACTCACATTCAGACAGCAGCGAGTGTTTGAAATAACTTCTGTTTGTGATCCGATGTGGATTCTGATCACCGTATAAGGCAGAAATATATGCGATGCAAAAGACTATAGGCGCAAACCATTTATTTGATCTCTCAGTGTGTCTCATCTTTTTATAGCCTACCGGACTATATTTAGATCCGCATTAAAATAAAGCAACTCTAGCTTTTCGGGACCTTCCTCTGTTTGTCTGACTGAAAATATAACTGTATTGGGACTGTCACTGGAGAGAGTGCTAAAGCTCCTCAGGTCGTATTTTTGGGTGAAAAATTTGTAGAAATTATCATTCTTTCTAAATGTGATGTAAACACTGTCCTGTGACTACAAATAAACAGAAACAGATGCGACTGAATAAGTACATGTGTCCTCTTTCTTTTGAGAAATAACAGTAAATACCACTTTACTTCTGTGTGACTGATGTACAATCTTGACATAAATAAATTAATTATTATCCCAGCCCGGCCCATTGAAAGCCCTGGCTCGCACTGGCCCCACAGTGGAAAAGCGGCTACTTCGGGGAACAAGTCTCCCCAATAATTAGAAATGGCCAAACTGCTGGTCTGCCTCAGCAGTGCTCGTCAATGTCAAAATAATTGAGAGGGTCAATCAAATCAAAGCCGATTTGATTTGGAATATATATTTACTTTTATAGTATGTCAAAAGCTGCCAGGTAAACCAAGAAATTGGTCAAATTGGCCAATGGTGATTCTATTGCCACGTGTATTTCGGTGTGATCTATTCCATGAAAGTGAAAACGGGTATCATTATTGCACTGCAGCAACAGGAAGGCTCTCTAACTAATCTGTGAACGTCCACACAGGACACACATTCATAGCAGCAGGACAACAACCCTCCTTTCATTCCCTCTCTCATCTGAAAAACTGCAATGGTTCTTCATGAGGGAGATTCCTGCATTTGTGTGTGCGCACACACACACAGGAGAGACACCCAAGTCGATGCTTTTAATGGGGCCAGAGAATGAAACAACAAAAAAAACTGAATTCTATCATTAACAGAAATGAAACTATTCATGAATTATACCATACAATATGGAGACATTTCAAATGTAATCCAATAGAAACTGAGACTGTAGCTGAGAAAGTGTAACAGTATCTACAACAACGGACTTCCTTTCAGTGTGACACAGGAAGACTGAAGCTGCACACAGTTCACAGGTCATTCCAATAGGAAGAGAAGAGATGAGAGTGAGCTCCCAAGGAAGACACACAAAGGCTTCCCCCTCCGGTTTTGTAACTCCAAGAAAAATATTGAAGGGGTCATACCTTGAGAACATCGAATCAACTTGTCCTCATA